GTTCTCACACTAAATCCAAAACACATTACCAGCTACTGAGAAGAAAACTGACTCTATCCCAGCCGAAACAAGGACAAGGATTTTCAAGTAGAAAACATCCTCACACAAATATGAAATTTATGTATCATAGGACAGTGAAGCAAGAGAAAAACAAATTCAGCTGTTCTAAAAACTTAGAGCTGGTAAAAACTACTGTCATGCCTACAAACGCACACACCCAAGAGTAAAAAATTCTTAGATGACACTTATCATTCAAGGACCTTTTTAAAAAAGGTGTCTGATCCCTCCCTGTCATTACAGATTGCATAGTATTTATCAGTGTGATGCTTTTGATATTACCTTGATTTTCTATTGCCTCATTTCCAGATGTTTCTGTCTAGCAGCCCTCTTTGCAGTCAGCACTGGCATAGGCTTAGCTCTACGTCAACCAAGTGCTTTGTTAACTCCATTTCTTTATTTTTAAAATAAGGACAGTAAGGCAAAAGAATAAATGAGATTAGTGGAGGGAAATAATGCCAGGCTATGAGAGCATATTTCATTACTTAGCCATCACTTTTGTCTTTGTCTTGAAAAGTTTACAAGGAGCACTGAGGTGGGGGTTGGTTGTGTACAAAAGCAGAGGAGACGTTAGAAGTACAGGTACTGATTCGTAGTGAGAAGAATGGTGGAGAATGATGTTCCCATACTAAATCTGGTCCTGTTACAGAACAAAGCAACCTATTGGGCACTTTTATTTTTCAGGTTCTTGTTTTGGAGATCTTGAGAAGTGCACATCACCTCCTTTGCCTCAATTATCACCTATTGCCAAGGCTGGAGAGAAGAGTCAACACAGGCATTTTTACAAGAGTAAATGTAACTATCCTGCATTTCCCATCTTGCTCTCAACACTGTTTGCCTATGACACCTGTCATCATCAGAACACATACCTCGCATCTTCTTTTAAAAGGTCACTGTACTTTGGTCCAGAAGAACGGATGTTAAAAGGATCCGAATTATCATCTATTTCAAGAGCCTCAGCAAGTCGCCTAAATTTGAGGATAGGAGGGAAGAAACAAAACATAACAAAAACACAACCAAACAAAAATAAACACACAAATCCCCCCAGCCTCCCAAACATGTTGTCATTGAAGAGTAAAGACACAGGTTACTAATATAGATGAACAGCTTGCAAAAGATACAGTCTGTACATTTGAAACTACTCATTTAGGACTTGTCACTAGAATATTCTAGTAAGATCTCAGATCACTCAATACAGATCTCCACATTCATCAGTTCTCTGGGTCACACAGGACAGGATTTTCTTCCACATAGCATTAACTTTCTGAACCTGGACTTCTGAAAAAAAGCAAGTTCATTGCTCACCTGTTCCTCTGAAGAGCTAAGCATTCTTCATCACATTGCAACCTGAATTATGAAAGAAAAATACAATTAGAATTACTGCTGCTACTCATACTTTTCAAACTGTAGCTTTGTTGGTATCATATCATTATCACAGCCTAAAGAAGTTAAGAAGAGTGTGTGAGAATAGTTTATTGTATTAGAACAGATAACACAGCTAAAACCAAACAGTAATCAAAGATCTTTAAGCACACAAGCCCTTCTCCAGGTCTTGAACAGAAGCAGCAATTACCAAAGCCATATAGAAGCTGAGAAAAACAGCTTCTGAATTAGGTTTTATTGTATTGGTAAATTAGATAATTTGAGGAAAAAAAAATGCAGTTGATATCAGCATTGAGGCGATGCTAGGAAGGATGGGAAATTAGCAGAGGAATATGTGACAAGGTCACTTACTCATATGCATCAGAAAAAATTATCAGTCAGGAAAAACAGGGAAGTTAGCTAGGCGTATGGAGGATTATGATACACTATAAGAATCAGTATTTCAACTGAGCCCATAACTTCTAGTGTCAGTAGAGTTACAAGTTTCAGTTTTCTGTCTCATCTTTGAAAGGTATTTTGTAATTTATTTTAAGGGATTAAAATGTCAGAGAAGGATCAAAAGTTCTCCAGAATTTCAGTGGCAGTTACAAACTTCTGCCCCTTAGACTGCATAAGTGAACTGATTCTGTTGATAATAGTTCCTTGATTTCAAACAAATACTACAGGGGAAACTGGTTCATTCAGTGACGTGTATTATGTTTGGAGACACACAGCTATAGGATCTAGAACTTCTGGTGGATTTCTTGAAGGAGGCGGAAGAAAGCTAACATACTTCCACTCTAAGATCAACATGGTACTGTTCAGTTATTTGCTTGAAGAACCATATTCTCCTCCTCTAAAAAAGGAATGTAGCCAATTTAGAGACCAAATTTGTCACCAGAAACCCCCAAACCCTAGTTAAGGAAACCAAACTAGAGTATAAAATGTCTACAGACAGGACCACAGAGAGAAACAAAGAAAGGAAATCTCTGCACAGTTTGCATAAAATATTCTGCTATTGTAAATGAATGAAGCAGATTTGTAAGTTACTCTGAAAATACTGGAGTTTGACAATAAACTAGAAATTTAAGAATAAATACTTTATGTGCCATCATCTCTTTTCCTCCCCTGCCCCAGTATTTGGTAGATGAAAAGAGTGGGGAAGGGAGAATACTTCCTCTGACTGTCCTTGAATAAAGGCTACCTGCCAGTTCAGATATCATATTAGGAAAGATCTGCACAAAGAAAAGTCATCTGTGGGAATTTCAGCTATTCAAGGAAAGGGCAGTATAACTCTGCCCACACAGAAAGATGCGCGGCAGTGACTACGACACATTTTATATTACACATTGCAAAGGCTGGGACACCAACAGAGACAATGGTGTCTTATTTGCTCTCCTGGCAAGTATACAGCTGTTATGACAGACTTGCAGCTTTAGTAGCTGAAAAAGTCATCCCCCCTTCTTCTACCACCCCACATCCTGTCCCTCGAGTTCTAGCACTGCCAAATGGTTGCTTTCTTTAAACAGTGACTCTTTTTTTGGAGAAGCTGAAGTTGGCTTCATGTTGTTGAGTATATTCGTATCTGGTTGGCATTGTGATACAAATAGGAACAAAGTAGTTGAGGCTCAATCTGGGTGAAGCAGAGTTTATTCTAAAGTAATTCTAGAGACAAAAATTAATGCTCATATTGTACATTTTTGAGTATTCAATTAATTGAAAAAAACAGGGTAGGCTAAAAGACTCAATTACTGCTTCCTATTTGTGTCTTTCTTATACCATGCTTATACATTACTAATACCATGCTCTTTAAAGTTGCATGCAGGAATCAGTACTGGTCTCCCTCTTTCCCCTTGTTCCCCCCCCCCCGCCCCTTTCTTCTGAAGTATGACACTGGCCCAACTAGAATGAAGCTGGAGACTGGGATGAGCAGGTGTTCCCATGCATCGTTTCTGGTGTTAGTTCATCTTGCCCATACGCTCAAGAGTTAAAATTATTTCAGTGTAGAAAATTATCCAAAAGGACTTAGTAATAATGTGCTCCAATTTCATAGACATTAAACAAATAGACAGAATGAATAGCAAAAGTTCTTGAAGTATGCTGGTATTAGCTTTTGATACAGGAAGTCATGAAGCAACCGTATGGGAAATTTCACTATTTTGACTTTACACACATAACAGACTGACCCTGAAATAATAAAATTCACAATTAAGAGAGATTCACAATTAAATTCACAATTCACAAAATTCACAATTAAGGAGAGGTGGTAACAAAAATAAACTAAAACCAGAAATTAGGGATTTCAATGGCAAAGACTTCAGGCAGTCAAGTTTCTGACAGAAGGATGTTGGAGAAACTTGGCAATTCCTTAAAGAAAGGGTACTAGAAGACAAGCTATTCCAGTCCTGAGGAACATCAGGAGGAACAGCAAGTCACCAAACTTAAGTCACAAGGCTTTCTGCGACTTAAAAGCAGACTTGCAGTGCCAGCCAGTGTGAGAACACAGAAGTGCCAATCAGATACAAATGTAAGAAATCTAAAAAGGGTAATAGAAAAATATTAAAAATAGTAAGATGATGACTAGGGGAAAATATTCCCCATTAATCATCCAGGAAGGAATGCTTAAAAGCAAAAAGTTATACTGTAGAGAAATCTGAAAAAATCCAGGGGAACTCTAAGGAGTTTTCTGGGTAGAAAGAAACTTTGAAACCACAATTATATTGTTCCATACATAATTATAACAACAAACCAGCCAATGATAGAGAACTCATTCTACATGAAAGCAGAAACATGAACTGCTAAGGAATTGCAAAATACTTTTAGCAGTATTGTTACAGTAGAGGATGGCTACTTAAATTCTTCCTATTTTAGCTGGGATTTTGCTCACAATAGTATGTATTTTCCACATCACCTATGTTTCAGGTACGTACAAGGGTTTCAAATATGTTTCTGTGTGTATCTCCTTACCTGGCCTGCTTCATTTCTTTTTTCGTAATAAGCCTACTGATTTCCACTGAATCCCCAAGCTGTAGATCTGTTAACTTAGTGGCTATAGATATAGCAGCTATTCTGAAAAAGAAGAGTGTTAGATTTCATTTCAAGCACCACATAAACCTTTGAAAAGGTGTATAAAGCTGCAGATTTAAACCTCCAGGTGGAAGGAGTAAGACAGACTGACCGTTTCCTCATCAGATTACAGAATGGGACTCTAGTTCCACATCACCTAGTTTTAGGAGTCTACTCTCTCTCATCTTGCTTAAGCAACTAGGAGCAAGACTAACAAATGGACATGCTTCTTCAGGGAATTTTTCAGAGCATCGATTCTAAGCAATGCAAATACTCTTTCTTCTCACCTACTTAATATTCAAACTACAGCTGACTGTGTAGCTTTAATTGCCTTTTTAGTTTTATGTGATTCTTCCTTAACTGTGTGCAACTAAGACCACTAAAATTAATTTATAAAGTACTTAGAAATTTTCTTAGAAAATATGCATGATACAAGCCATAAGGAAAGAGCAAAATGCCTACTGAGACTGTTACAATTTTCTTTATAAAGATTCTTCATCATTCCCTTCAATAACAAGCCTTCACAGTCTGATTTTCTTGCTAAAATTTCTGTAACTAAAATATACAGCAAGTTTTTAGTGAAACATCCCACACCATTCTCAAACAAAATCCTAAAAATGGAACATTCTATCCTCTGAACCATCCTTTCTGTTAAATTCAGATAAAAGGATATGCTTGTCTGTATATGTTTTGTATCACATTCAGAGAACTCATCATCTGTCAGGAAGGAGGATAATCATACTACATAAAAACAACAAGCACTGAGAGGCACCATCAGCTTCATATTTATCAGGTGGTGACAAAGTCTAGTTAATGGGCCATTAGATGATATGACATCATCATTTGTATCATGTGTACAGACATAGCAGCACACTCACTTTCCTGTTCCCTTGGGCATTCTTCCACTGACATTCACTGACAAAGCTCAAAGCTGTTTCATCACTCCTGTAAAGTTGAGAAAACTTGGATATGCCATTAACTTGCTGACCTTTCCACAGTAGTACTACAAGAGTTACTTTGCTGTGTTTGGGGTTGGTTTTTACTTCTTTCCTCCCCAAGTGTGTAGATGGTGGGAAAAAAAGCCAAACCTAACTCCCACAAAATCAGAATATTTTAATCTTTCAGCAACCTCAACAGTTGGAATTATCAAACTTAGCTTGCATTAAATGCTGCTTTTGTTAACATCACATGGGCCAAGAGTAATTTCTAAACATATATGAACACATTTGAAGGAACAGATACAAACACTTGCTTTAAACGGATTGTTTCTTTCCCTTCCTCTTGACTTGGGCTCTGATTAGATAAATACATATGTGTTCAGCTTATGCATGCAAGGACTCTCACTGACTTCAAAGAACCAGTTTCCTTGTGTGAATACTTTTGCAGTGTCTGAGCTACAGAAACAGTAGAGAAATGAGAGCCTTCAAAAATTTGGACTTGTAGTTACATAACCTTCCCAGCTTATCATTAATGACAAGCATGTGTCAATTTAAACAGTTTCTAAGTTGAGTCAGTCTTCTGATTTGTATTCATAGTGAAACAGATCTAAAAAAAACCCCCACCTTTTTTTCTAAAAAGGAAAAAATTATATCACTACTCCTCTAAGTCTATCTTGCATACAACGTAGTATTGACTACAATTGTTCTTAACTGTTTCTGATTAGCACATTTTCCTCCTCATTTTTATTAGGTAGTATTAAGCACCTATTGTGTAGCTGCTAAGCTACCTTCTGTCAGAATTTGAATCTGGGCAGTGTTCAGCAGGAACAAAGCAGCATATCCTAAGCTGGGCTAGTAACAAGCCCTCAAATAGCAGTTCCAAATAAAACAATCATTGGGAAGCTTTCTTTGAAAGACAAGAAGAATCTGTGACTGTGCTCTCCTATCAACTGGGATGCAGAACAGAACTCTGGTTGCATATTAACTCTCTAGATTAATTTTTGACTCCCTCTCCATCACAGCCTCAGAGTAAGATTTTATTATTATTACTGTTATTATTACTGTTTTTCTATTTTTATTTCAAAAGTTCCAAAGCCCTACTTTTCTTCTTTTCCTTGTCCCTTCCTTGCCCTCTCTTATAAGAAAGAGAAAGAGAAATAAGTTTAAAAATAGGATCTGGAAATAAACCTATTGCAATAAATGGACTTGAGTAGGACTTAGTTTGCATAGTTAAGAACCAAGATTTAGATGCCAAAGCTCTCCCACCTAAATTTAGCCATTTCAGAATGACTTTAAATCACTCATTATCTGTATTGACTAGGTTACATCACACATTAAGGGAAACAAACAGCAACTCACACATGGACTGCTATATGTAATCACAACATTCAGGAGCCTGAATCCGGACTTGCCCAATTAGTCTGTATCTAATTGCTCTATGTGGGTAGAGCAGAGTTCCACAGATGGGAGATTCAAGCTTTGACACACCACCACAGTTACACTAACAACAGTGAAAAGAGGAATGTGTTCTAGTACAGTGTAGCTGGTATGAAAACTCAGAGGAATACAAAAAAAGAAACCATATGTGAAAGTACAAAAAAAGTCTGAAAAAGCTTGTGAATTAAATATACTTAGTAAAGCCTGAAATTTAATCAAAGTGCAAAGAAGTAAGTCCAGCGAGGAATTAGAAGAATTATTACAGTACAAACCTCTGATATGTATTAGATGCTTCTGAGCAAATCATACTCTCCTTTCTTCTTCCACATTCACATTGAAGATCAACCTGTTGTATCACACAAGAGAGAAGCTTTTTAAAATTTTTGTCTTTTTACGGCCATGGAGGGGTGTGAGGGAGGTAAATTTATTCCTTTAAAAAGTCCTATTTTAGTGGAATAATGGCTAGAAGTGATGAATAGTTGTTAAAAAAATTTCAGTATTTTAAGTTTACAGAAAAATGTCATGCTATGAATATATAAACATGTCATTTTTTGTCACAGCTCTTATTGGCTGATAATTAAACCATATAATTTGCCTGTGAATTCACAGTGAATTTTCTTTGGGTATCTAACCTTTGCACTGCAGGATGTTGTTGGGCAGGGTGAAGAAGGATGACATGGAGCCATACAGGGATGATTACAATATAGCCTTGGAATAGTACATGGCTGTTTACACTCTTCATCTATAAGACATTCTCCTTTATGACAGATTCTTTTACATTTGTGCATTCCACATTTTAACATTTGATTGCAGCGAAGTCCGCAGGAAATGTCAGTGAGATGACAAGGAATATTACTTCGCAGCTGGAAGAGCGGAGGAAAAAGATGACAACTAAAAATGAAAAATTATAAATGCAAATCTCAAAGTACTTTTACTGTTCACACCTTCATTTGGCACTGTCCACATAAGAATAGCAATACTAAAATATCTTAGGACAAAGACTAAGTTTTTCTTTATATCATAGTCCAGCAGTTGGTCTGAATGTGTATGGCATAAGAGAGACACTTGTCTAATTTAATGACACTAAACTCAAAGTCCAGTAACATATTCCATTCCAAAGAGGCCACAAGAATCTAAGCCTACAGTCCTAGAACGTTATTTAGTATTCAAAAACATTAAGCGTCCAGACTTACTTCGTGCTTGCCCATACACCATTTCTGAGTGAGATAGGTACAGGGTGGACATTTCTCCTCACTATGACATGAATGGTACACTGCAGTCACAGAAATATAAAAGCCAGCACAATTTTTTTAGCATACTTCAGTCAAATGCATTAAAGGAGACAATAGACTATTAAACATGAGTCTGCATTTCAGAACTACGCAATTTATGGGAAGCATGATGCCTCATGCAAGGATCATCTGTTCTTTTAAAGTACTCTTTAAAAATTATGATGGCAGGTTTTCAGGTGAATATTCTTCCATATTTTCTAAATTAAATAACAGAGAATTTTCTAACTTCTGAGCAGGGTTATACTATCAGACAGAATTTGTCAGAAAGCACATCTGTTTGACCTGCGCTGTATTTTTTGCAATCGGCCAATGTAGTTCCAAGGAACATAGAAACTAACTGTTCACTAGGTTACCCTACTGCTTCAATCTTTGGAATATAGCATTTAATGTGTTGTGACTATTAACAATGATTAGAAAAAAATTCCATGCTTTTACCAGTCAGAAGTACCACTACTAGTATTCATGGCAAGTTTTTAGTTGGTTGACTTTTAAGTGTAGACTTTAGGAAACATTCACAACTACTGAAAGAGCATCTAATAAAAAAGCAAATATATTTTCAAACAGACCTATGTACACTTTTCTACATTTTGATCAAAAAAAACCCAAACCAAAACAAAAAACCCAAGCAAAACTGAATGGCCTGACTTACCTGGATGATCACAGTCATGTGGCCTGGTGCATGTTTTCTTACACTCTGGTGGTTGAGTGCCACAGGGGACAGGGGGGTAAATCACGGATTCACCACAATAACAAGTTAACTCGTCAAAACCTGAAAAAACAAGTCAAATATATCCCCCAATGGCTACATGTATTTGTATTTCTCCACTATGAGAAACCTTTAAATAACATGCAAATGTTTTACTCCAGCTTCGTTTTTTATTAAGCACCAGGGTAGCGAATTTATTAGCTTTTGTGGCTCCTACAAGAAAACTGGACTATGATCACTTCATTAGGAATTATGCTTGCTTTTAGAGAGTGGTTCTTTCACAGCAACATTTTGAACTGGAGTAAGAGAAATGCTTATGTCAAGTTGAAAGCTGTTGCTGTTCTATCCTTGACTTAAAAATGGGGAGATCTCTTGAATTCCCTTCTAGAAAGCACATCATCCAAACCTTGTGCTCCAAACTTCCCTCTGCCATCACTTTTTCAGACCAATGGTTAGATTTTGTCCTTTTACCAAGTCCTGCACATGGTACTGGAAAGATTCCAGAGAAAATTACCAAAAGGCATCCAGCATGTAGACTTCTTCCTGTAATTTCTTTTGTATGCTTCTTTATGTCATTTCATATTACATGGATCCTCATAAGCAGCTTATGAACCTGGCCAAATACTTCAAAGCCAACTTTGTACATTTTGGAAGTTCTCTGTCTCAGGCAGTATACATTTTCTTTTTCTTTTTTTTTCCCCTCCTTCCACATTTGGGAAACAGATTTTAAACTCATCACAAGATTCCAAATCTCAGTGATAAAACAAGCAAAGGAATAGAAAAACTTACATACACCATCCCAACTAAAACTTAACACTGCACAAAAATCATTAGAGTTCACTGCTGTTTTTCAGACTATAAATAAACTGGGAGGGAGACTGGTTGGAATGCAAACTACAGTTCAAAGAGATAAATTCTTAGAAAAACAGGACACTAAGAGAAAATATTAACATCAGAAGTCATATAGAAGGAAATCTGAGAATTAAAAGAGAATATGTTGGTCTATAAACAAATAGAGAGTGTGGATCGGGGAGAACAAGAGAGAATAATGGAGGAGATAAAAGAACAATGGGGGAATAAAAATACAAAACAATTCCAACTTGAAGAGAAGACAAGTGTGTTAAGGGAGCTGCTGAGTTCAGCAAGTTCTCTGACTCCAGGAATCACGGGATTCCTCCTTCCTAGTCTACCAAAGCAAAATCTGTTGAACTCTAAAACCCCAAAGGTTCCTACTGTCCCCCTTCCATATGGATATGGTGGCTGCTGGATCAGTACACAGGTCCAGCCAGTAGCAAGACTAAACACATATTCCAGAGAGACAATACATATATGACAACAACATGACCGGACACACAGAGCCAACTGAACACAAACAAGATTCATGCGAACAGGAACACCAATAGCCAAGTCTTCTTCCTCCTCTCCAGCTCATCAGGATTGAAGTTCACTAGTGAAGAAACACACATACACGCATACACTCTATATTCACATGCATGCCACATTCATGGATCTCAAATATTAGCATAGGCTCTGTCTAATATCCATACCTGGACAGACCCCTTACCCAGTCACTGGCTAAAACCTTGGGTATTTCCAGAGGCAGATCTCCTCCCACTAGACAGTCAGTCCAGCTCTGAAGCAAGTTCATTAGCAAATTACCCAGACATACACAGGCACAGACAGGATTGGAATTAACAAGGGATGGCACACCCCCTGGTCTCTCCAGGTGCTGGCACTCAGACCAAGGGGCCCCTATAACTTGTGATTCCATTCTCCAGCTGCTGGCATACAGTATAGTAAGTCTGTCTGGCCTTTCCAGTTGCTAGCATAGAGACTATGTGCCTGCATGATTTGCGGCCAAGTCTCCAGGTGCTGGCACTTAGACCTCTCACATGCAGAACAGAGCCCGGAATTACAATGAAAGATATTAAATCTTATTCTTAACTAGGACAGGATAGACAGTTGTCATCAAGTACACAGGGCTGTGTCAGAGCAGCACACTGACCAGCGGCTTCCTTTGTGCAAATGGTGTCTTTTATCTCCCCTTCTCTCCATTTTCCCATGCATCCACCCTGATTCCTCCCAAATAACCTACCACAATAAATTTCTCCCCATTGGTTCCAGCATAGCTACAAATGTACCCAAATCTGCTATTTCTGGTATCGTTACCTAGGTCATCCCAGCCTCACACAACTACCTAAGTTCTGTTGGCCTTGCAATATTCCACTCCCCAAAAGGTTCCCAATACCTCCCTCCTCCAGTTATCTGTGAAGCTCAGTCATCTCTCACCCTTAACATCTGTGAAATCCAACTTTTGTCAGCTTTTCACTGTGTTTTTTGTTATGTTCAGAAATTTGTCATGTCTGGTTGTTTTTTATGGTCTGTTCAGCGAGTTAAATCTCAGGCCAGGTCCTAGGCATTTGCCTGTGTATCTTAGAGCGCAGCAGTTAGTAGAAAGGATCATAATTCTTGTCTAATGAGACTCAATCACAATAAATTCCAGCAAGTAAGAATGCTAGGGAGAACAAAATATTAAGGGTTAGAAGGAAGAGGTAGAAAGGAGTAGAATAAGCCGAAAAGTTTCAGAACATCCATGGATTTTCTGTTGAAACCAAGCATAGGAAAGAGTAGGGCTTTTGCTGTCCCTCACTACAGGTCTTAAACAACCTATAACTTTCCAGGCTTTAAAGTCACAAGTCTTCCTTGGTCCAGGAAGATGAAAGACCAGAGACCAAAGTCCCTGGAAGACCTGAGTGTTAGACAGCTACACTGGCTGCTTGCTACTGATGAGAAGTGATAGGTGAAGCATCTTAACTGTAATGAAGGTTCCTTAACTAGCACTAATTGGGACAATGGGGAGGAAGTGCAGAGAGGTCTGATCCAAAGAGTAGAAATACAACATCTGAAAACTTTAAAAAAAAAAAAAAAAAGCTGTCTAACACTGACATAATTTATCTTCCCCAAGAGACGTATTGCTCTCTTGAAGTAGACTGGGTGTGTATAAAGAGACCCTGGCATAGAAAGGGACCTCACCTTTCAGCACTGAGGAAATGACACTGGAAAGGTAAAGTACCTGGGAAGCACACAGAACCACAGAGGTATAGATGCACTATAGTACTGCATCTTGATGCCAGCCCTCACCATTTCCAGCAAAACCAGTAGTGGAGATGGAGGCAGGGGCAAGATATCCAGTCTAATGAGTGGCAAGTGGCTTACAGCTGACCATGCCATGGCACATGATACCATGGCTGATGCAGCCCAATTGCAAACTGGTGGCTAGACAGGTGGATCAGAGCCAAGGATGGACTTCTTGGTGCTGAGAAGCACTCCCTATCAGCTACAAGGTCAGAACCACACAATGTATGCCTCTGAAATGTCAACTAGCAGCACCCCGGGAAAGCAGGTAAAAAAATCTTTGAAGATACTGCTTAGCTGATTTACCTCTGGACAGATTCAGAATGGGAGACTTCAGGGACACAAAGGTTTGAGCCAAATGACTGTAAGTATCTGGTTCCTTGAGTAAATAGCTGCTTCTCCTGTGCTCAGAAAAGGACCCCACTGCAAAATTTCAGCAGTGAAGCTTAACCTCTCAATTGCATCGCATCCAACAGTGGAACATTTTACAGGGGAGGCAATCCTTAGGTCTCTTCAGGCTAAGACAGGCATCTGAACCTTAGGTCTGAGAGTGAAATACAATCCTCAAAAGTACTGCAGCAACGGGGAGAAGTTTAATGATCTTGAAGATCAAACCCATGAAATCCAGTGAAGAAAAACAACCCCTCAGAAAAATCTGTGCGTTCTGACTCAACTAGACCAGAAGTTACTAACAGGACCTCTGAGGCATTCAGATTACTATTTCGCTATGTCAAGAGAAATGCTTGGACACACAAACATTTATTTTTTGTAAAGAGAGGTACAGTCAGCATGCATGTAGGCTATTAAGACAGACTACAGCGCTATTTCAACCACAGTGAGATACAGAGGCTCTATTATCCTGGAAAAGAGGTGTTTCCATGAGAAGTTGGTCTCCATAAAAGTGGAGTTCTTTGACTATGTCCATATGCATATGATATAGGACAGATGCATGTACTACTGCAGCTAAGACACTTCCAGCTGTAAACAGTATCCTTACAATGTACAACACCTGCCTCTCTCCTTTTCACTAATGTCATGAGATCTGGTTCACACTTTCCACATTTCACTGTCCCCTTTCCCCCATTCCAATGAGCAGTTCCAAAGCAGTACCCAGCTTCTGAGAGAGAAGACTCACTTTTCTCCAGGAGTGACTACAGAACTACTAGATAAAAGACAGTATTTGATGAAAGCCAAAGGGGAACTACAGGTGAGTATTTATACTCCATTCTAGAAACACTCTCCCCTCACAGTTTTATTGTAGATTACAGAAGATGCAAAAATAAGCACAGAACTCACAGCTATAAGACTTAACGATGATGGATTTAAAGAAAACTTTCAAACTTCTTAAGCAAACGCTGAGTGGAAGGATGGATACAAGCTGAAGAATCCACTAAGGGCTTTTTTTCTGCCCAACTTCCAGAAATTGCATTTAATAAATAGCTTATAATTTCTGTGATAAGCTACATCTATATAAAGAAAGGGGAAATCTCTATTAAAATAGGAGACAGAAAAAAAATTAAACTGTTATCACATATGAAGATGTTCCAGATCAACTAAAGATTCTGCTAGCAGAAGGAAATGTAGAAGCATTCTTCTGTCTGCTTCAGGCCAAAATCAGAAAATTTAGTATTATCTACCTATTATAATGGTGCAAAATAATCAACATATGGTAGCCTACATCAAGTGGTAAAAAGCAGTTGTAGAAAACTAGCATATTAAAGTGGCACAGCTTTTAACAGAGTACCTATCTGTCTAAAGCTATTGCACCAGCTTAAATCTTTAAACAGTTCAGCAATCATAACAAAATTAGTACCTGCTGGCTGTCAATATATTTCTAGCAATTCAGTACTAATTTCCACCATCCAGAACGTGACCAGAAAGCCTAAGACACACACACTGACATCTCTTATTTCTTCAGATGGTCCTAAGGAAAAATCACTAGTGTACCAAGTTGGGAAAGTCTGAATTCTAAGTATCTAAACAAATTCTGCTACATACTTCAATATCTTGAACAGTTATTATGTTGTTAAACAAGAGTTCCCTTAACTTAGAAATTATCTTTCTAAACAGCTTTTTTTCTTGTGCGAGTCCTTGATTTTTTTTAAGCGATTGCTGGATCAACATGCATAACTGAATATATTTCACTGTAATTCAATTTTAAGTATTAAAATCCAACACTTAGTAAACTCATCTAAAATGAAATAACTTCCTCTTTCATGAAAAAAAAAACCCAGTCAAAATCAACTACTTATTTTTCAGGTTCTGGTCAATTTGGATCACATTGTCTGTTCAATTCTGACCAGTTAAGTGAATAAATTTCTATAATATATAAGAAATAAAATACTCTTGCACGTAACTTACTCGTTTGCCAGCACGTTTGACAACTGCCCCGATGACAGGGTTCTTCACATCTATGAAGCCCACAGTTGAGTTTACGACCACAAACCAAAGAACACTTATGTTCTGTGTCCTATGGGAAGGCAAAAAAGAAAAGCACAATTAAACTATAAACCCCAGTGGTTTATTTTTCTCTGTGAGGTCATAATCTACTAATTGACAAAACTGTATAGTGCAAAAAATAGCTTAGGCCTTATCTATAGAATTTTTCCATCACTGTATGGATACACAATTTTTAAAGTGGATTCTGTTAAGACCTCTGTTGCAGACATAGCTACATCATAGCTTGTGCTTCTTGTATTAAGCAATGTCCTTCCCCTCCCCATTCTCCCTGGAATCACTGCATTGACAAAAAGCACCTTTAAACCAATTTAATTGCATTTAGGCTGGAAAATGGTTTTACATTTATAATGATACCCATAAAACAAATACTGCAAAATAAATGCATTCACACAAACTTTTTGAGCACGACCTATACTGCAAATAGAGACTGAAGATGCACAAAAATGGAAAGATATGAAGGCAAAAAAGTCTTTTAACAACACAACCAGAACCAGACACACATCACAACGAACAATTTTAGAAAACCACATATAAACTTACCACACAGCAAACTTCATTACACTTGTGTCGTCCACATGATCTTTTCTTGTTGCATCGCTTGTCACACATGAATGTAATAGCAGCTATTAAAAACAAAACAACAAAAAAACCCCAAACGCAAACAAACAGTCATTACTTTTATGTATTTGCTTATGCTGAGAACAAAAGCTGCGATCACAATATTATGCCAAGGCTGTTGCAGAGCATGGTCTAGAAGAGACTAACACAAAATAAGTCACCAAGCAAACTTTTAAATTACTTGCTCTACCACACTAATTCCTATGTGAACACTTGGCTTCCTTTAAACAAACTCTTGTTCAAAAGGATTTTGGAGAGCAGAATACATGAAAACTAGTTTATTTCACATTAGTCTTTACACCATAAACTCTGCACAATAGAGCACAGAAAACAGGATATCCTGACACACTGGAGTAACACAAACATCCAACTGAAGACTGCTCAAATTGGTAAGGCAGTAAAAGCCAGGTAAATACAACTACTGCTGATATGCTCATGAAGGTAGGGCTAACAAAGACCATCCTTATCACTATCCATAGGCAACAAAAGCAATCGCTTCTGGATTCTGAAGAGCGAAGTCTTCACAGACAGAAACTCAAACTAGGAAATATACATATTAATTCCTTATGTATCTTGTAAATAAGTACTTCAGTATGACAGAGGTCCATCAAGTAAACATTTGACTGAGGTGAATTTTGAGACACTACATCCAGAATACCAAGAAGTGTCAAATGGGAACTCTCTGCCAAGCTCAGATGCAAAGACCAGCAGCATACAACTGTGAAGCAAAATCAAAGCTTGTATTTCCCCAGGAACTTGGACAAGAGCAGAGCAAAAGCATTACTTTGCATCTGAGCTATGCAAGTTGACCCAAAGATATGCAGGATGCTGGGTGGGGTGCAACCTCTTGAATATCGCAGGTGGCATGAGAAATGTTCAAATTGAAACAGACAGCTTGTCTGGAATCTTTGAGATCAAATGCTGAAGAAGTTTTTCCTTACATAAAAAATGGACAGAAGTGAAATAAGTTTATTCCAAACCTCTTCCCAAAAGTAGCAGCATCTCAAGAAATGATCAATTTGGCATAGAAGTATGGATAAAAGAAGCAGTACTCATCAGATGTTTGCCAACTTCGTCAATTAAACCCCAAACTAGAATGAGCTGTGAATTGTTTTTAAAACAATTTCACATTATATATGTAACATAACATTGTACCTTTATTTCTGAGGAGAGCACATGGGACTTCCTAGGAAACAAACAGGGAGCCATTAGGTTAAAACACATGAAACAACTGAAACTTACTTATCTAGATAACTCCTAGTCACATCAGACAGAAAGAAGCACTCAGTTTTCATGTGTATAACACGTCTGTATATAAAATTGAAACAAAAGCTGGAAAAAAAAAATCCTCAAATCTTCCAACATAATACTTTTTCCTTAGAGATTCAATACCAATTCAAAAAAATTGTAGTTTTGTATACCCCACTTCATTCAGCAGATAATGCTGTGAAGTGACAGAAAAAGTTTGCCCTAAGAAACCAGAAACTTGCAAGGAGGAAACCAAAAGAGCTCTCCCAGAGAATATTGACAGAGCACATAAATTTGTGCTTTGACCAACTGTCCTAAAAAATGCAAGTCTGACTTGATTTAGAAAAACAAAAAAAAACAAAAAAAAAAAAACAAAAACAAATGACAGACAAAGAGACTGAAGTCAAATCTCATGATCAAAGAAGTTTTACCTAGATTAAAGACCTCAACATGAAAACAAAAGGTGATGGATGAAAACAAAACATTGTTGATCGCCTACATTTGAACCTTCAGTCATCACAACTTTACATTCTGAGTTGTCATTTCTAAGCATCACATTTTTCATGACTGATTTAAATTATCACTGTAGTTCACTCATACTTTTTCAAGAAGTATCTTTCTTGTCCAAGAAGCTGCATAAACTAAAACCCATACCTCACTACTTTGTTTCAGACCTCAAAATGAAAGATAATCTGAAGCCTTCTACCCCATAACTACCTTCAGCAAGCTTGCAGGAAAAAACTGTTCCAACCTCAAGCAAAGTCTCAGTCATTTCCATGCACTTATGGACTTATATATTCAGAAGCCATGTCTACTTATAGATGATATGTAACAGGTCAGAACAGTCGTCAAGGCTCCTGTGATAGTAGCCAAAGATTTCAAAGCTATGATTACAGAAAGTAGCATAATTTAAAAATACACTAATTGTTATATAACAACAATTGCTGGGTTACTATATATATATAGAAATGGGGACCAGTAAAAACTTCATATTCTCTCCAAAAAATTCTACAACAAATCTACGAGCTATTACTATAAATTTTTAGTGAGCTTTTTATGTTAGGCTACCTTTCTTCTCTCAGTTTACATTACTCTCAGTAAAACTACCATTGTTTGTGCTATATAAACATTACAGGATAATATAGGACTTTGCAACCAGCTTAAACAGAATTCTGTGTAAACTCTGCAAAAATACTTAAAAAAATTGCCTTCACATTAAGTAGCCTATGTTAGCACTTGACAGTATAATGTAGTCAGCATCTATCAGTTAGTATACAATGGAGGTTCTTGCAACTAAGGAGCACAGCACCTCTTATACCTCTTAACTTTCTTTTCCTCAACTACTTCAGCTCAGCTCCTTTTTCTCCACAGCTTTAAAAAACAACAAAGATTACCCATTTCCATGGTCAAGGTTCATACACTCACCTTTTTTTTGAAGCCACACCTACAATAAATATTTGATGTGTGAGAACATGGTTTACACTCTCCTTCATGGCAAAGGCTTTCACATGTATGAACAAACTCTAGCAAAATGAAAATACAAATATTAACAATTAATAAAAAAATAAAATCCATGACCTGGAACTTCATACTTATTAGGAGCATCACTGGTCAAAGATACTAAGCTTATGTGCAGCTGCATTTCCAAACAAATTAACCATTTTGAGTTAAATGTGCACAAAATTTGTCATTATTTTCAACTTTTTAATCCTGAATCTATAGACAAGAGTTTCAGGTCTAAAATTAACACTGAAAATGCATACGTTTTAAATATTTTTTACATTAACGTATGGAAACAAACAAAAAAATATTTTTGTGTGATACTATCTTCCCTAAGATCCAGGAATTTTAAGTAATTTTGTCTTCCCTTTCAGCCCAAAAGAATGACTTATTATGCATACCTTCATATTTCACTTACTAGGGTAACTGAAATTCAGTTAAAAGCTAAATTACTCATTCCCTTTCTACTTGTTGTCCTTAGCCTGACAAAATGGATCAGTCATTACTAAGCAACCCGCATCTTGACAACATTGCTCTCTCCTCTCTAAGGTCTAACAAATCATGATTAAATATGTAGGCTGTAAAACTTGAGCTTCACACAATCTCACAGTTAAATACACTTGAGTTACCTAAGGCACTCACTGAAGTGTCAGATTGCTTCTGCACATAACTTTCTCCAACTTTCCAATGCTACTTTTTACTTCATGACCCTCTTAGAGCAGCAGGAAATGAGTATTTACTGAAGACATCTGAAAAAAGTCATTTATATCTACCAGTCTCCACAGGAAAGTCAAAGATGTTGGTGGGCTTTTAAAAGACATTAGTACATACTACTCTCTGGAAATTCCTACAGCTCTATTCCTCTACCAATATAGGAAAGGTGCATGTAAACAAAATTTAAAAGGCTAGCTAGTGTTAGTGCTTTCTAGACAAATATATTATCTGATTTTAAGGTATAACTATGAACAAAAGAGTCAGACTGCAGGCTTTTACATTACATTCAGTGGCTTTTACACTCAGTTCGGTTAAAACCCCCAAATCACTAAGCAAATACTTATTTCTTGAAATGATACAGTTAAGGACCACTTTTTTTTTTTTTTAAACAACAAAATAATTTGAATACTCTGATGCAGAAAGTTCTAATTACCATAGCTACCACAAGAGAGAGGTTTGCCACATGTTTTTCCACACGACGGGATAGGGTCTGTGCATATTTTACGTTCAACACATCCTAGTTCCAGTAACTTGCTGAGAGGAGTCTGACCACAGGGACAGCGATACACTACTTGAGGAAGTCGTGGACAGAGCTGGCAAGGCTGAGGATGGCATACTTGTGTGCAGTTGTGCCTCCCACAATTTAATTTTCTGGAAAAAAACAAAACCAAAGAAACACAAAACAAAACAAAACAAAAAAGCAGAATTATCTAAGAGTATCATGATCACTGAATGCAAATAAAACGACCTTTTTCTTTTCAAAAGCCTAAATTATAGTGACCTTACTTGCCACATATATTCTGACATGAGAAATTCCCAAATCCATCAGAGAATTCTTCCTTTGTCCCACACAACACTTCTTTAAAGTTGCTTCCACAGTAACACACTGAAAGAAAGCAATATTCCACAGAAAACAAGAGAATATCAGTGACAAAACACTTCCAGCAGTACAGCAAATATAAAAAGATAAAATATGAAAAAATGTTACAGTCAGCTTTTAGAAGGATAATGAAGTTGCTCCGCTTTAGATTTATTTCAGCAATAGAGGTTTCTCAGTCCTACAGAAGCTGGAATTCCTGTTTTATTTGTTTTCATAAGGAGATAAAAACTAAAGGGGAAGTACTGTCTGCCCAAAAAGCTTACTTATTAAAGGAGTATACATAACAAGTTAAATATTACCTTAGAAGTTGAGAAAATTAACTTGCAATTTTCTGTATAAACTGTTCAACAAAAATGTATTTGTATGTTGGCACATATATTTGGACAATTTAATTTCCATTCAAGACTAAGTTTAGAAAATTTTAACAGGAACTGTGAGTAGCTTGTTGAAATATGCTTTCCTATACCTCTTTCTATTCTTCTTCCATGCACTGTTAAATCAAGTCTCAGAATTATAGTAAAAGATTAAGTAGGATCATAGGACAATTCAGGTCAGAAAGACCCTCGGGGGGATCAGCTAGTCCAAGCCCTTACTTAAAGCAGAGTCAGCAATGAGATCAGACCACATTACTCAAGTGTTTTATTCAGTTGGGTCTTGAAAACCTGCAGGTTTCCAAGAAAAGAGTTTTACCTTATAGTTAGTTGTAACATTTCAACTTAGACTCATTATCTCTCATCCACCCCTCCATGCACAGCCTGTCTCTGTCTACTTGATTACCTCCTATTAGCTACTGAAAGGCTACTTCTCAGCCTTCTCAAGCTAACAAAGTCCAGTACCACCAGCCTGCCCTAAGAGGGCACGTGCTCCAACAGCCTAATCATCTTGGCAGGATTCTTTCTAGTCACATTTATATTCTTATTTAAATATATAGCAATGCTGACGCATTTTCCATTTTTTAAATATTCTAGCAAGAGATTTTGGTTTTGTTAAGTAAAAACAAAGCACTTGCCTCTTGGTACTGGTTTTTTTTACCCTCTTGTTTTCATAGTATAGAGATACATAAAGCATTCCAACACTTACCTTGCTGTACTGTTAATTGGCAAGGTGAACATTTTCCTGCATGGCACACTTGAGTACAGCTGTGCTTACCACAGTTTAAAGTATTTCCACATACATTAGAACAATGAATTTTTGTTGATTGGCCACAGCGAACTGAATGACTGTAGAGAAATGACACCATAGTCTGTCAGCTACCTTAGTATCTTATAGAGCATTTATTAAAAAGGAAAATACTTTTTCAGTGAAATGCCAAAGCCTTTGAAAGGAAGCATAACTTATTAATGAAAGAGTTTTTAGGAAATAACCCCCCTATTTTTCCTCCTGCTTCCCCTTTCCCACCCCCCTAAAGTAGGACACTTAGGACCAGCAGTAAGTCTACAGAATTTTCTCTCAACAAAATGGAAAAAAAAAAGGTGACACTGTAACTTGAACCTAACATATGGTTATGCATCATGCCAGAAGAGCGGCTATTTCTATTACAGACATCTTTCTGAGACTTAAACAATCTTAAGTCCACTGAGCACAATGAAGATAGGGATGTGGGCCTTAATATTGAGTCAGTAGTCTACAAAGAGTTAGGGGTTTTTTAATTAAATTGTTAAAAAAGTAGGATAAAACAATAAATTCTCCTCTTTTTCTATTCTGGCTGGCATTATACAATGGCTGTAAAATGTATATTTGAAATAGTAACTTTAAAGTATCTTACACAGGTGCCATACCACATACATCTTGTGTGCTAATACAGTACATATGAAAAAATGCTGTTTAGAAGAAAGTTTTAAGTATTAAATGCAGTATTACAAAAATCAGCAATCTGGTGAAAGTACCTGGCACCTGGGAAAAAAGTAATAAATCAAAGTTGGTTGAACCTATTAAATGTTTAAATGCAAGAATAGCTAGAATTTAAAAAAAAAGGTGATCTTACTATATAAAATAAAATTCAGCATTCTACAACCAATCCATTTTTCTGCTGAAGACAAAGTGCTTTCAACTACAAATACTGCCACAGAAATAGCTGTACCTTCTTTTGAAAAATCAACATCACTTAATATTACATTCAAACTTTCAGAAATAATTGTTAAGTCTGAAAACCTCTTTTCTAAAGCAAGAATGCTAGCACTGAAATCAGTTTTTGTTTGTTTTAGTTCTGGAAACAAGCACAGGAAGATATTTTATTACACATGATCAGTTCTAGGTAGCTAGAACAGGGACTGTAAAGGCTCAAAACAACTGAATGTGACAGATCACAGATAGTATGGGCAGTACAGTCTTGCTGTTGGCAATGACTATATACATCAAACATGCAAGGAAAAGATAGCCTTCAGGTCTGGAATATACTACATCTCTCTTGCTAGGGGTACAGATTCCTAGAAATGTACATGTTATTTTTGAAATTATTATTTCTGGAATGGAGTAACTCAACATTACACTCCATTCACACAGAAAGGGTGTGAACCTATTTCTGCTTCTTTCCCTGTGTCTTCTACAAAATGAAATAAATAAATACTAGAATAGGATTTCAAAATCAACCCAACTCAGATTGCTTGGACAATTCAGCTACGTGTACCATAAATTGATTTTAACACAGACAATTCTTTTTTTATTATTTTTATTTTTTCTTAAAAGATTTAAAGTAATTGCATTTTTTAAAGTATAAAATTCTCCACATTTATTTGCATGCTAAAATAAAGTTACAGCTCAGAATAAACTTTGCTCTGTAAACTTTCAATAAAATTTAAGAAAGAAAAATTCTATTAAATAAACTTTTAATAAACTATTCTTATATAGACTTTTTTTTGTATAATAGAAACATTCTCACCTTGTTTGTCCACATTCACATGTTTTTGTCACAAAGGCTGGGCATGAAGGGCAAGGTCCTGGATGGCACAGGCTTAAAAATAAGTTAAAAAAAGCAAACAAAATTGTAAAGTTAACTTTAGCTTTACTACACTCCCAGAAAAACAAACCACCATGACCCAATCCGCAGTGCATTACCAGAATACTATACAAGCCATCTACACTCCTGCAGGGTATGAAAGCATTATTAACACAAGAAAAGAGTATTGGATAACTACAGTTGCATCAGTCTCAAGTGTCACTGATGCTGAAGGAAAACTTCAGTATTCCTGCTGCTGTCAAATCAACAGTAACAGTGCTACTAACACATTTCATATTTTGCATTTCACCAGCAGGCATGCAGTATCAACTGTGTTCATCACTGATAACACTCAAAACAAACATCACATGTCCAAACCATTAATACAGTTCTTTCTTCAGTGATCTTAAATAGATTAGAGACAAAAACTTCTCTACGAATTTCTTCTTTTGAGTTGGTGGCTTTTATCTTTGAACTCAGCATTTCTAACTTCACCAGCAAGAGCTGTTGCTCCTTTTCCCGTAAGGTAACATGTGGGAGACGCAGCAAGTCTGCCTCAGTTTTCTTCCTTACTATCAAGTGCATTGATGACACGCACAGGAACTTGCCAGTCCTTTACTTATCAGATCTCACCTCCTACTTCAAGAAACACTAGATGGTCCCTATCTGCATATAAGACCTCTGTTGGGCACAGACAATTGCAGGTTTGTGAAATTGTACTTAACTAACTTGTCTGCACTCTTCCTTAGCCAGCTCCCAGTTGCTTTCCTTTGCAAATACAGCAACTTTCACATGGAAAAATTATCAGCCAGGACTGACCAGCCCAGATGTCCTAGCCAAAAGAAAAAGGAAAAAAAAAATAAAAAATCCCCAAAACCTATAAACACAGACTACCCAATTAATAAATTCCCCAAGTACAGTCACTATGCAAGCACTAATTAGCACACCAGTTACTATAGTCATATGCAATATAATTGAGTCATGTCAGCAGTTTGTTAACAGTGGTCTGGCTCCCTTCTTCCTCTACCACTCCTCCCAGTTGACAACAAGGCCTAACCTATCATCCAGCTTATACCAGCTCTAACAGTAAAGCCAAGCCATTGCATGACAAACCAATCTGACACAAAAAAACACCACCAAGAACAACATGAAAAAACAAACCACCAAACCACAACCCTCCCTCTTCGATAGGTCAGTTTTATGGCATAATGAAGAGTTAAATAAGCACCAGCACAAGGACCAGGAGAAAAGAGCAAAACTGGATGGAGCAGAGAAAACACGATACAGAGAGAAATGGAAAGATGGAAAGAAAGAAAATCCATTAAATTAATTAAAACTGTATTGTGGAACTTCAAACAATGAGAATTAACTTCACCATTCCGCAACAGAAAACCTATTGTAAGAGGACAGCATTACATATTTCACTGTCTTGACTTCAATTCTCACAGACCCATGAAGGATTCTAATGGCTGGATGCCACCTTATAAACTTAAGAATCAGATTAAAAGTAGATATAAACTCAAAATACTATGATGTAGGTCATAAATTGGAAAAGAGAGAAGACACATCATCTTCAGAAATATTGTCATGTTAAGTTTTCTACCTGGTATATTATTTTCCTCAACGCTGTCATATTCGAGCAATGTTAACATTGCTTCCGTAAGCCCAGTCTTGGCACACTATCTGATGATACTATACCACACAACAGCAATTTATAATGATCATGGATATTTTTAAGTTGTAAATACCTGTAATAGTAGACTCCAGTCTTATAGCAAGATTCCTTTTGTTAGAAGGGTATAATGCAATTAATTTCCAGACATCTCCAATTTTTGATAATGTTTGTTTCCAAGACAGTTTTAAGTAAGCATGTGTCATTTTGTTAATATGAACAGAAAAATTCTAGTAATGCAAAAACTAACCCTTTGAAACGAAACTTCCAACTTCAAAAATAAGCATTCTTTACACATTCCTCCAGATACATGCGCTTGCATGCTACTTATTTAGCAAAAGTCTCTGGTGCAATTTGGTTTACACAGAAGCTATAGTATGTCTACGGTTCCAAGATTTACTTGATCAATACAACAACAGTTAAGATAGAAATTCAAATTTTATTCAGCACGCAGACACACACAGAAAGTGCAGGAAATTGTCATTAGATGATAAAGATGGGTCATACCTTAGAGTTTTAGTCTGTTTTAAGGGACTAATCAAAATGTTAAGTTAAACGTCTTAACGGTGTTACAAACTAAACTCAGAAAGACAGGTTAAAGACCTCAGTATTAACTTCTGTTCAGTGAATGAAGTCTTATTTTTACTGAAACTCCATTATCTATCATTAGCATGGAGCAGTTAATTCACAATTTACTACCACTTCTCTAGAGAACTGGCAAACAACAAAAGTTGTAATGATAGATACATCTAGACATAGAAAAAATTAAACGTCCATCTGCCTGACAGTAAAAATACTAGATACTGTAAGACAGCCCAAAAGGGCTTCCAGTAGCTGCTGTGGAAAAGATTAAAGCACCAAAGATCTATGAAGGAAGACCAGACACTAAAATTCAAACTAGCAGAGAGAAAATTTCATTTACTGCTTTTGTAAGACCTTTTTCAAATGCTCTCAAGGCCTTGCATAGTTCCAGTTGGCAGGGAGAACTTCTGAGTCTTAAGTTTAAGTTTGTCATGAAGTTTATTATCAGTTTATTATCATTTTCTTGAAGGTTAAGCTAGATGTTTCTTTGATGTAGAATCTAGCACAGCAAAATGAATTTCAGCGTATTTGAACTAAAAATGTGAAGAGAACTCACTTTGTGAAGTGCTACGCATACCACAGCTCACACTAGTAAAAGGCTTGCAAAGCAATCCCCTTTCAAACAGCTGCTTGCCTGTTCCTCAGCTCTGCCAAGAAGCTGTTTATATAAATGGTTACTAACCCGTCTCAGTAAATCTGAGCAAATATTAAAGGTTTATTATTAAAACAGTGTAAATTACCCTCACTCATTTTCACCAAAATGGGCTAGCTAGCGCCACAGTTAACACAAGCATCCAACTAAACTCTATACCATGGAAAGGAGATTAACACAATGACATCTACATTTTTTAAAAAAGAAAAAAAAAAAGATTGAAGAAATACAGTTAGGAATTGGCCAATCATTTAAACAATTCCATACACAAGGTTGGGGGCGGTGGGGGGGGAGGGAAGCAAACCCCCAAATCATAAATGAATAACCAAAATACCACTTCAGTAGAAAACCATTTGTTCTATTGGTATAAAGGGGATCAACACATAGGTATAAGCTGGTTACAGGCAACAGTAGGCTGAAGAATTGCTATATCTCTGTAAGCTCATTTTTTAAATTTGAACATCAATTTCAGACATTCCTGACAAGTATAAAGGAGATGCCAAATAATTTGAAAGCCATAACCACCAGGGTCACAAAACCTAAGGAAACATAGCTCTGATTCAAACTGAAAATATGTAGGATGCATATGTCTCATTACATCATTTTAGACAGTGCTTATAGACAAAGGCCTCAGAAATGATGGTCTAACCCTGCAAAGTAGAAAGTGATGACCAATTAGACCCTCCCCACATACAATACACTTCTTGCCTGAACCTGGCTGTCACCGTAATCTCTAACTAGAGTATGAGCTTTAACATCCTTTCCAAAAGCATCTACGTGATGCTGAGAGCTCTAGACATTCTTACTAGCCGTATGAGGATCTGTTCTCTTTTGAATCTTATTAATTATTTGCATCAATTTCTTGCACAGAGATGACCTGCCTAGCACAATGCATTTGATGCATTCTGAATTTGCCACCTTCTGATTTAATTGAAGGTCTCATTTCCTACTCAGGGAACACAGCGGGGGGAAAATCCCCATATTTTCAATGTTTTCTTGATAAAACTAATAACTTTACAAAGTATTAAAGTAAAAGGATCAAAATCTTTTCCCACGACTTTTAATCCAACTCTTTCTCCTCAGCCACAAGAGTCTGATGCTTACTCAGTTTTAAAGGGAAAACAGATTCTCAGGTAACTTAATCCACTTTGATCGATTTCAACTTGCTACTTCAATAATGTAACCACCTAAGCAGCACTTGGAATAGCACAACTGGCACCACCAAAAGATTACATGACCAGTCACATCGCTCTCAGAGCTGCTCATTCCACAGGGGACAATCATTCGCACAAGCCTAGCATATAGCGTAACACAATGCACACAAAGGGCAGACAGCTGGAGGGAGGCTGCAGTTTAGACCACCAACAACTATTACAATGGCTTACTTTCAAAACCTCCTGTACTCTGCACATTTCATCTACACGGCAGAGGGAGCAAGTACAAGCATCCTAATGCAAAGCAATGAGAACAATGTTCCTCTGATGTCACGTATGGGGAGAAAAGGGGATGATGTTTGCTTGTTTCTGGTAGTGTCACACCAGATAGCTGCAGTGTAGATACCTGGTGTGTGGTTTCTGAAAACTCAAGACAATACTGCAATTCAGATTCTGTTGCTAGGCACTGCATAAATAATTCGGATATAAAGAGCAGTGGATAGCTATAAGCATCTAAATCTCCCATACTCTGACTGTTGATGGAATAGCCGCAAAGAATCCCACATACTTCAACTGCAAAGGGTTTCCTAGAATAGATGAGATTAAATACTGGAGAAAGGGCAATATCAAGAATAACTTTCTACTTCAATGAAAGTTCTTGAAACCAAGTCAGGGAGCTGGTTCAGTTCCTAAAATACAATGGAAATGTTGCTACACCTGTTGTGGACTGCCTGTTCATTCTCTCTTATGAACTCACTTTAGAAATACAAATAAAAATAGCCTCCATTTCTTCAATGTTTCAGCTGAGCTATAAACCAAATACACCTCTAAGCATATCCTACAGTCAAAAAATGTCCAAATACAGTCTCCAGAAATTTTCTCTGGATCATTTCAATATTTATACAATAAACATTTACTTACATGTTACAAAGATGTGGACAGTCCAAACACTGCCTCTTCTTTCCACAAAGCTCCCCACAGCTATGTGGGATTTCATTTCTATTCCATTCAGGATTGTGCACCTTACCTAAACCATGTCAAAGACAAAAACATATATATTGCCTTGAATACAATACTGAATTTGGGAAAAATACCACGCCAAAAAGAAAACGCTATATTTTCAATATTGGCAGTATTTTTCTTTGAAAAACAAAATGACACAAGATGTTTTGTGGTTTTCTCCACTTTCAGTGCTGATACATACTCAACTTCTTTAGAAGTGCATGCCACTGGAATATCAAGCTCCAGAAGATTCTTTCCTTCTATGCTCTCAGCAGGCACTTAGGTAGCTGGTATTTTACATTAAACTGATAAAATACAAGAAAATTAAAAGCCCCCCTTAGTTGGTCAGGCTGCATAGTAGGTAAGAAAATTAAAGGGTGAAACTCCCTTGCTGCCTCAATGCAGAAGGGGGAAGAAAGAAAAAAAAAAAAAAAGAAAAAAAAAAGACTCCATTCCCAGAAAATAAGATGTAGCTGGTAACGTGACGGGGAATAGGGACAGAATGAAATGACTGGGCAAATTATGAAAGTTACTTCTCTTTAAAAGAAGCAGACTCTATATAAGTCTAAACATTAAAGCTTGAATAAGAAGCGATAAATCCAGTATGTTAGCTTCAAGTATTCTGTATTTCAGACAAGCACTGAAACCATATTTTAATTAACCTGACATACTGTTAGCAAATTTCATAGCTCTAAGTGCATGACATGATCATCAGGGTTAAAGTTAATTACCATGGTTAACACACACACACCCCCCTAATTTGGCTCTCTGCAAGAGGGGAACTAAATTAGCAATGAAGCAACTGAGCCAGTGTTACAAATTTGAGTTGCAACAATGAAAAACACCAAGAAAATGTATTTTGGGTGACATATCAATTTAACTCTTTTAGTATACCTTCATATATTCTACAAGTAGCAAGCTAGAGAAATATGAATAAAGACCACAGATGGCATTTATTCACCTAAGTTTCAATTAAACTAGTTGAATACCCAGGAAAATCGTGGTGATGTCCAAATGCTATATTGTTAATGTAAAATTATCTATAGAAGATTAAAGTCTTATGTTCCAACATGGTGCTCTGCTAATATTAAGCCTATGGACAACTTGAGGTTCCTATTGTAGATCTCCCAAAACTATGAAACAGTCTTTAAAACTAGGCAGATTTTCCTTCCTATTTAACAGATGGACAACCTGTCTTAAAGTGTAATTTTCAACTGGAATCAAAACATTCATTCTAACTGAATTATTATCTCTATACTTGTAAGATTTCACATATTGTCACACCAAAACTCTCTCTCACCTGCACTGCACTGTTAACTCACTCACTAACACATTTAAATAAAGGGAACTTTAGAATTGTTACCTATTACAGCATAAATCTAGTTTCTTTAGGGCAAGTTCACTCACTCCCACTTCCTGTCTCAATTCCAGAATATTGTTTTGTAGAAAGTGAGGTGAAACTTCCCAGTGACTCTGACTTAAGGAAGGGAAAGCTATGTGAAATCAACACAAATTTCAGAAGTGTAAATCCCAAACAAAATTTATTTGCAATTAAGTAACATAATTTCTCCCTTTTTGTCATATACTTATGGCTTAGTGAATGTTGTACTCACTTCATTTACCTCTTATTAAAGATGTATCTACATAAAGGTCTGAAAAGTCTGAATATTATTTCCTATTTAACCTTTATGTGTCCCCAATCAACATAAATGACAAAACTGCTAAGTCAATTTAAAGGTTTAGACAGTTGTATGCTTTAATTGTGTGTTATTGTGGTGTGTCTTGCCACAAAGAGACATAACACATGCAAGTTATTTCAGTCCTTCTACAGAAGGAAAGCATGTAGGCTAGCAGCCCAATTCTACCATTAGTCTATAAAAAAATCACTATTTTTACATAGTGATAGGAAAATATTTATCACTTATGATTTAATATTTCTTTTTTTAAATGTTTTAAGTAACATGTGTGATTCTCTGCGCAGCCACCTTCCAGTGTCAATAAAGTGCTTAACAGGGTTAAATTTCAGGGATGTAGCAAACAAGCAGCAACATCAGAATTCAAATTTAAAAAAAAAAGAAAAGAATCAAAAGAACAAAATTGTTTTTCTTTGCCAAAGCAAGCAAGAAACTCACCACAGAAACAAGTGTAAGTTTTAGGAACTTGCGTAGAAGCATTCTGACAAGCTGGACATCTCCAACCACTATTGCCATCTGTAGATAAAAAAAATAAAGATAAAAATTACTTGAAGTAAATAAAGGAGCTAATTTGCAAACCTTGAATAAGTGCTCTTGCCTTGTTTCTTACCACAGCTGCAACCAAACTAAATTTTTCCATTTAGTCAGAAGTGGTGAGAAAGCAGGTTAATAAAAATGCATTTTATACAGTATCAAGATAAACACAGCAGTGGTCCTTCATTTGGCCAAGCTCCAACTTTATATAGAAGCAAGAACAAATTTTAAATTCTACTATCATGTACCCTCTTATAAGACATTCTACCAGAATATAAACAGTCTTCACCATATCGAAAGATGTGAGAAAAAAAGTGTTAAAGTGTGGGAAATTGGTGAGAAAAATACAATTACCTAAAGTCTTAAGCACCACCTGTATTCTCCTTTTTGTTATCCTCTCATTTTATGAGTTTACACATCTTGTAGAAGACCAATTTAGTATTGCTTCATTTCCAGAAGAGATTAGTGCTATATAAACCAGAATTATCTACTTTTAAATATTTTAAAGGTGACAATACCTAGCTATTGACTAGGACATTATTTTTCAAGTTGGTATTTTATTAAATTGTAGTTTCCTTGCTTCTGCATTTCAGGAGGGTGTTGGTTAGCAGTAAAGAACGTCAGCATAAGGAAAGTGACATTCATGAAGATGTTTCCCAAATGTAGTATATATCTGGCTATGAAGGATACCAGTGTGAGAGCACTATTGAACACAAAGGGGGGCAGGGAGGAGAGATTTTTTTTTAATCTATATAGTTAGATATAAAAATTAAAATGTATAAAAACTCATTAGCTCTTGCTGTCTCTCTTAACCAACCAATTCAGTGCCAGTAAATTAATAAAGCTGTGATTTTAGAACTCTTCTTCGCGATGAAGAAATCTGACCAAGATTTATAATTTTCATGTTATGAATGCAGGAGGGATTGCAAACAGGAAACCCTACGTGTGACAAGACAACTGCACTGCAATGACAGGCACACCTAGGTTCGCTATGCTATCAATTGGATTGGAGACTTCTTATTTTAACCATTATAATGCACAATGGTAATGATCTTCACACACCAGAAATGATCAGGATTATAGACTGCCTTGACACTCTTCAGGACATGGTTTAGTGGGCATGGTGGTGTTGGGTTGACGGTTGGACTCGATGATCTTAAAGGTCTTTTCCAACCTAAATGATTCTATGATTCTAAATGCAAATCTAAAGCACATCTATTCTTTTCAAAATTTTGCGCCTATTCATACCCCTTGTTATCCCAGCTCAGATCACTGTGCCACCAAGACCGCTGCAGAGAGCTGTACAGTTATGGGCTGAACAGCTGTAGGACAGTAGCACAAGGAGTATACTCTCATATTCGTGCTCAAGACCAACCTCTATTTCCTGACCAAGATTTTCTTTTTTTCTTTTTTTTGGTAATTTGACTGCTACAAACTGAAACATCTCAGAAAGAAGCATCTCAGAAGTGTTAAAAGCTACAGGTAAAAACTGGCAGCAGGGGACTGAAAGGGGTATCTGCTGACGAAGCTGTCAGCACCTTATGTGGCTCCTCCCAAAGCTAGCCTACTAAATCCTAAGGGATTCCTTCATACAGTATACTTAACTATTACAGCAGCAACAATTTCTTTCATTGTTATTCCACATTACATTTTTCAAAAGCTGTGAAGGTAAGCCTATCATCAAAGCTTGAGTAGGCCAGCAGAAGGCCTCTCCTATCAACATCTCTCCCAGAGCAGGATGCCTAGTCCCCTACAAGCAACAGTATCTCTAGAGTATAGAGAAGGTCCTTGTAAAACAGCGACCTTCCACAATGCAAAACAGCCTTTCAAGATATATTTTGTTGTTCTTAATCATTGATTATCCTTTGCTCCTCTAAGACCTAACTACATGCCACCCACAAGGAACATGCACGGTTGCTTTCCTCCAAAGATACAAGAAATAAAAGTTTTCTTCCTGGATTCAGATGTAATTACAGTAGGATAGAATGACAGCAGGATGACTCCTTACATCCACATTTGTAAGGAGTGGTCCTATAACCACTCCTTACAAATCCCGATTACTGAAGAAAGTGAGAATGAGGATGATCCTACAGAATGAACATTCCATTCTCATCAATCTCATGAATAGGAGCGAAGTAGGCAGAATTCCAACCAAAGACACCAAAAGTACAGTTGTCTAAGCAAAATCAACACACCTCACTCCTGTTTACTAGAGATTGTTTTAGTATTTGCTATCCTCTCCTTCTGGGATAAAGATTCTTTACGTGTAATTATTTACCAAAATTTGTTCCATATACTTTCATATTGCAAGCGTCCCTATGTGTAGCACTTTCAGCCACAACAATCTTTACCTGTGGTAGCATGCCCCAAACCCTGCCCTTCCTATTGCATACCTGTTGTCATAAAGGCACAGTGAACACTCTCCTCAGTTTCCAGCATTCTAAAGGATTAAGGGTCTCAAAAGAAACTTGAGTAGGAAGAGCTGGGAATTACATATACAGACTAGGGATCTTTACATGCAGTTTCAAACACGCAACTTTCCTCTTTACATGCTTGCCTAGATGAGTCACAGGTGATTACGTAAGAAAGGATCCAAACACATCTGCTGGAATAAAGAGTGAATGCTAAAAGGCCACGTTTCCAAAGGCAGCAGTACAGCAGGAATTTTCAACATACATACAATGCTAGGTACATCAAAATAACTCTGAACAGAAGACTTCAGTCACTTTAGCACAATATACCAGAATCAACACTGGCAGTTTCATGTTACCATTTCTAAAAGGTCTTATGCAGTTCTCCAATGAGATAATCTGTATCAGAATAAATTACTGCTTTGACTTCTCAGCCAGACACAATCAAAAACTTTTGTCCCAGTAACAAAAAAGTGACAACATTTATGTAATATCCAAGGCACACAGAATGGCTTCAGCCATTGAACAGCATGGCTTAAAAAAAAAATAAAAGGGAAAAAAGAAGAAAAAAAAAGCAAGTAGATTCATATTCTGACCACTGAAACTCAGAAGCCATCTTAGAGGCCAATATCAGATTGGTACAGACCACTAGCTCACCTGGAAGTGGAGGGCAGGGGTAGCACAGGGAGCAGAATACAGTTGTAATAACTCAAATATCTCCAATCCTTCCAGTCAAAATGAAAATACCAGTAAAACTACCTTCCCTGCAAAGAGGGGAGCAAATGGCTTAAACATTTGTTCCATCAATGTAAAGGCACAAGTCAAACACCATTGAAGCATCAGTTTTTAAAAGAAGCAGAAGAAGGAAGGGGGCAAGAGACAACAATTTCCCCTTTATAAAAGATCTTGTGCATAATGCAGGTATTTTTGTCAGATTGACCTTAGCTGTGCAATTTCTAAAGGCCACGTTCCTCCAAGACATATTCAAACTCTTAGTAAAAATGCTTCCTAAGGAGGAAGTTATGTTCTTCCCTACAGAAAAGGATCTTTCCACATAACAGCAAAGCAATGCCTAGCAGAGCACCTCCTCCTGACCAGGACATCTCCAATACACAATGAAAATCCATTCTCTAGTTCTGAGTGCTGCTGACAGTCTACATTGTAGAAATACTGAATGTTGGATGTCAACCACAACTCTAACGTAAGCAGAGCAAGAACAGAGCAATGTCCTATGACTCCCCACAGAAAATCAGGAGATTCTTTCACCTGGCTTGGCCAAACTAAAAGTCATCTTTCAGATGACTGCCAAGACAACAGAAGGCAAAGAAGCCTCTGAGGGAAGAGACCTTCAATAAAACACATCGGAAAGAGTCCCTGAAAAGAGAGATACAGTAGGTTGTGAGAAGACTTTGTTATGGTAACCTAGTAGAGTTCTTTGCTTCTTCCCACCCAAGTATGTAGAGTCCCAATCACATCTTATCTCACTGACATGGTAACCCAGGATAGTTCACTTCCCCCCCACCATCTGCACCCACCTTTATATGGGTGCTAACCTGACAGCCAGCTGCAGATCTCAGAATTTGGAGAACAGCACCTGCATTACATCATCAAGTTCACTAATGAGCAAAACAGAACACTACACATGTACAACACATGTTAATCGGCACAGGTTTTATTATCCATCCCTGCGGTGCATTCCTTTAAGCTTCACTCCCGAGCAGGGTTCCATTGCTTTGGGTCACCATTTGGTTAGCATTGGTGTCCTGGGACTCCCACCGTGGTAATGCTACCCTTTCATTAAAGCCAAAGCTTTCACTTGGTGAGTATTGTGCCTCATCCCTGAGGGATCTGCACCTGCTTTTCCCTCGTAACAGATACCCATTACTATTGATCTGGAAGATGGAACAATGTGAGAAGATACCCCACCAAGGACATTATCTACTTCATCCAAGTATTCAGGATTTCTCCAATACAATGCTATGATCACAAAAAACTGTGAGAAATTATGTACACATACATACTTTCAGCCTCCTACTATGTGTGATAGAAATAAGAGCTGCTGTAAGGCCCCAAATGGAGGGACATTCTCACCAAAACATTCAGTTGCTTCAAAAACATAAAAGAATGAACGCTCAAACCTGATCTTCTGAACAAAACATTCTCACTAGGCTGGAAGTGAAATGTAGCAGTGAAAAGTTTGGGTGCTGAGATTAAATAAGATTTCTTGGAATTCATTATAACATTTGCAGAATCAAGCAAATTTAAAGTAAATCATATCCAGAAAAAAAACAGGGTTTTTTCCTCTTCCAGAAAAACAGCCAATTACCGAGTTAGGTAGATTACAGCATCCTATTTCTCTTCTCTGTTGTCTATAGACAATAATTACTGCTAGCATTCTAGTGAATTCTTCAACATTATACAAAGCCTAAAAAGTAGAATCTACATTGAAACAACCTAACATAAAACAAATACACTCTGAAGTACAAGTTCTAATCAAGATAGTGTAGCAGGGCCTTGCAGGTCAAGAAATATGCATCAGTGTCCTTACTGGAGCTGTGGAATCAGTTCCACTGAGGCCACCATCTTTAATTTCAATTAATGATTAGCTCAAGTTCTCTCATACATGGGATACAGTAACATATTTAGTGCACAAATTCTTACAAGAAAAGCAAATGGCCAAAAGATATGGGTATTTGAAATGCGGTCAGGATTCAAGCATCTAAGGTCACTGTCTTGACAGATAAGCAAAACCTCCCTTACACAAGCAGATACTCTTTTGATCGAGCAATAAGCTGTTTCAGGGAGTTAAATCAGCTCCAAAGAAGGTGACAGAAAAACAGCTAGGAGATAAAGGTTCTCAGCAGTCATTCTCAGTTTGGCTTAGGATCTCAGTCTTACCCAAAAATCTGTTCCTTTCTCAAACATTCCAATGTCTTTAATGTTTCAAATCTTGTGCTGATACTTGTAACTTCCTTTCTACTGTCAATATGAAGCATGACCAGCCCTACCCAGAAGTCTGTCTATGCATCTTCAGAAATCCAAGAACCTTGCAACCAATCCTTTCTGCAAGAGATTTACAGTCTGTAAGAACTTCTCTCAAACATCTGGAAGTAGCTGACAGGCTACATTTTCTCAGTCTGCCCAGAGAGAGGCAGAAAGACATGAAGAATGGTAAATGCTAAACAAGCAGGGTACAGGAGCAATTAACCTACTTCAAGGTTAACATTACAGTCTTCAGAGTGTGTCTACATCACACAACTGAACACAGCAGAGAAGCTGCAATTCAGCCTTAACTTACACCAAGGCATTCAAAAAGCAGAATGTAGTGGTATAAGAGTTTCAAAAAGTGGTATAACACAAAGAATCTGAAACAGTTTAAGCTAATGACAAAGGCACAAGCTTTCTGTCTTCTCTGAATTTCATTTCACTGCATGGCATCTGTGACATTTCAGGAGTACTTTATCTGAGAACAGAACTAAGAAGTGGTTGAGTAAAAGCAGACAACTAATGCTTGGAGTGCTTCTTATGTTTGACTGCTCAGCCAAGCACAGATGAGAGAAGATGAGACATTTCTTGGTGTGTAAAAACACAGCCATGGAGCTTTGCATCTTGATGCACTGATTTCATTGAGTGATCTTACACTTATCTATCAAAACCTGGAAATTACTTTTAGCTAGAATACTAGAAAGAATCAAAACAATTAAGAGAATTATACAAAGCATGCAAAGAACACTGAAAAAATTTTTTTTTATTTAAAACTTGCTGTGTTCACAGCTTACTGGTTACCTTAGACAATATTTATAAGTAGTTTTCCAACATAAGAAACGCATGAACTTTGCTATTATATATATTTGAGAGAGAAAGTGTGTGCAAGAGAGAATACCAACCTTCAGCTTGTGAAGCTGGTGATCGTGCCCACTTCTTAATGCAATTCAGGTGGAATACATGGTAACAATTCTGACAGCTCCACACCGGGGCTGCTATTCGGACTACCTCACAACATACCATGCACTCATACTTCTCTGTGGTCAGCTGTTCAATCAACGACCCTGCAAATAAAATATTTTATTTGTGCATGAAACATCAGCTAGCTGAGAAACAAAATTCAAGTGAAATGCCAAGATTTCATTTAAACTATAACAGAACTTATTTTTCCTGTGTGGCTATAAGCAAGGTATTAGTTTAATCCCAGAAGATTCCAGTTTGATATTCGGTATGCATTTCTCTAGTTTCAGAGCAGGAAACGGAGTATGAGATTCCCATAAAAGTGGCAACAATAATTCCTGTTGATGAGTAGCAATCATTCTGATCTTACAAATTAGTTAATAGTTTTAAACTTCACAGAAGTTTGAGACTTTACTCATCACTTTATACAGAAAATTTACCTTTGCACAAAGTTTAAACCAAAAATCTTAAAGCGCTTAACTACAGAAGTTTCAGCCAAAACTAAATTTAATTCCCATCCTCAAGTATTCCTGGAAGACCACACAACAAATATTAACAGTGAAGTACCTGGATTACAGAAATAAAGCCCTCAAACTGACTGCTTTAGGAGTGGAATTACTGGGAAACAATAGTCAAAGTACAGGGTCTTTTGAGCCATATGAAAGAACATGAAAAAGTACTTTGAAAATAAAGCAAGAACTCCACATGAAAGACAAAACAGCCTGAAAACATAGTTAGATGTGCAACCATAACAAAGGCACCACATAACTTCAGTTCTGCCAGATTAACTCCCCCATCGTGGTAAGGCTACCAAATACACCTTAGAAATGCTATTTGATTTATGCCCACAGAATTTTAAAATATCTTAACTACAAGCGTCAAGTGTTAAAATGTACCATTTTTAGATGGTGCCAATACAAGGGAAGTTAAAACTCATAATGAAGGACAAAAAAATGAAAATAACAAAAGAAAAATGACTATCAATTCAAAATGTGCTTGGACCACACATGACTGAAAGCAAACCCATGGTTGCCTGGAAACCTGGAAGTGTTAACACCACTTCCCCTCCTTAATAGGATATAAGCACTTTCAAGTTTCTTTTCCAACCCTGCTGCATCAAGCACCACAAGTTTTAGAATGAACAGTCATTTCTGTTTTCGGTACCACATGAATATTACCTGCTGCAAAGAAAGCATCCCCACTTAAAACATACTACTTTTCTCCAGAAGACTAAAGCTATACCATACTCAGAAAGGATAGCTGTCCCATAAATAGTTAAAAAGCACAGACCAAGTCCCCTGAAAATAGTGGCAAATGGTGCTTCCAAAATAGCTCCCAACTAAAGCATGCAAAGAAAGACTGCCATTTTGGAGGGGGAACTTCCTTAAGTTGCCTGTAAAAGATTACTACTTCTCTTCCTGCTTACTGCGTATGATGTTTTTCATTTAATAATAATGCTGGGAAAAAGACTGAGGTATCTTTAATTTTATGATTCAAGTAGAACCCAGGAGCATCAAAGTGCATGTGTTTAAGTTAGAAAGGATCAAGGAAGATCTTGACCCTTGAGCTTCTCCTAAGGGAACAAAGCTTCTGACTGGAGCTATCTTATGCTTCCTGATTATGCTACTGCTTTCTCAGCTCTGAAAGAGAAGAGACACCGAGATGCAAAAATCTTCAAAAGATTCAATACCACAGTTAAGGTAATAAGAACTAGTCTACCCCTCCCTATCATTCTTGGCAGTAGGAGATCAGGTTGAGATGCTTTGTAAAAAACAACTAAATATAATTCTTATTGTTTGTTCAACTGGAAGGGGACCAAAAAAAAAAAATCTCTCCTTATTGCCTCTGAAAGAAAACAGGACTTCTGCTGGGTGCTATGAATACCATGAGACTATTTTCTCAGTGCACAGTTAAGCTTATCTAAAGCAGTAAGAAAAAGCTACCTAGGTTGTCTAGAAACAGAAACTAGCACCATGGCACTGAAGAGATTCAGCTGATTTCCATTTAATGTTTTAAGTCCCTAATGGTATGAGTTGGCACAAAATTCACTCCCAACAGTCAAAATCTGTGGGTCTGCTTTACACTGTCAATGGCACTTGTTTCTATTCTCAACTTCCCAAAACAGTATCCAGAGACTTTCTCTATTTCTAATTACCTTTTAATACTACTGTTGCAAAAAAAAGAGAAAAAAATCCAGTTAGGAGCAGAACAGAGTTCCTCTATCTGGCATTTTCCTACTGCTACATAAAACATGAGAAAACTTACTCTGCAAAAATCAGTTTTAAGATTGTCCCTCCAAGTCCCATTGTTCAGAATGCTCAAAATTTTACTCCCCACTCCTGCAACATACATGTTTTAATATGGTGCCTAACAAGGCCATCATTTGCAGTTTGGTAGTAAAACAAAAACAACTTTATAAACAAAATCTGTTATTCCCTAGTAAACTTACAGAACACCTCCCCACTCAGAAACCACACATTTACATATAATTCTACCCTCTGAAACTGATACTGACCTAATGTGAAATAATAAGGTCCTTCAGCTAGTCAAATGTGAAGGCAGTTGAAATTACTCAAGACTGTATCTTTAATACAGGAGTACAGGACAGTCTAGGAAGCTTACCTGTGTGAGTTTCTTTGTTTTTTGGTACATCACTTTGCTTTTTCCAGTACTGGGTCCAGCTGAAATGAAGTGCAGGTGCCTGATCCCCCTTCAGAAGGAACTTCCTTCCATTACATCTGACAGAATCGGACAACTGATGCCTGATTTCATTGGTCAAGTTCTCATCATTTTTGTGAACAGAGAGCTCTTTCTTCCTCTCATTTTTATCTTTTGGCGTATATGCAAGAGAAGACTTCTTACCTACTTTTGTATTTTTACTACGGTGAGAATCATGTCTTTTCTGACACTCCTTTTCTGCTGGGGGTTTATTCCACACAGGCTTCCGGGGATATCTTTTGTTTACATAATTGTAGCCTTTCTGCTCATCCCCGCTACCAACAGGTGCGTCACAGAATGCCTTTCCAACAGATGATTCTGAAGAGTCAGACTGAGTCATATCCAAAGATGGAACATTTTCAAACAGCTCTACTTTCTGTTTAGAGCTCACTCTCTTTTCCCGGTCATGTACTTGCTTTCCCTTCTCCCTGAAACCCCTTCCAGATGCATGCATCAGATGTGTTTTCTTTGGCTTTGCTCCTCTGCTATCTGCATTAGGCACCTCCCTGTCACTCTCTGAGGAGAGAAAGTCATTGTATCCCCTAGGAGGTGCTCTTCTCCCAGGTATTACTGCAGCATCGGAAATTCCTGGACCAGCAGCAGCATCCACAGTACTTTGCCTTATCTTACTTCTAGTACATGTGCTATCGTTTCTTGATCTGTGCCATCTCTGGCTTTGCAAGTTGCGATTCTTCAAACTTTTACCGGTACCAAAATATTGGTGGAAGTCTTCAGAATTCCCATACTGACTTTCTGGGTTAGAAAAGCCATGATGCTTTGCGGAAGAGCTTTCATAATCTGTACCTCTTTCAGAAGACAGACTAGGAAATGGTAAATTACTTCTATTCTGATTACTGTTAGAGTCTTTCCTATCTTTATTTACCCAGTTTATATCTGTAGGTTGTCTTTCTCCTGGAATGGAATCAGCAGCATCGGGATGGAAATTCAATGCACCTAAAAAGTGAAAAAATAAAAACATACACATAAGACTATTAAACAGTAAACATTTCTTTTCAGCAAAATTACCATACATGCAAAGGCCCAGAAGTTCAATCAATCCCACACTTGACAAAACAACTGCAAACGAGTTTCCAGAAACCACAGTTGAATCATACAGTGCTTTGTGGCAGTTACCTTCCCTTGTCATCTTCAGAGAAAGACTGTGATGACCCAGAGTTAAGATAAGAATATAAACACGTAAGGTGAAGAAAACATTTGAAGCAGCACTGTATGTATACAAGACATGCAAGTGTGATAATCAGCGCTTAACATGTGCTGCAGTTTTTCCTAGCATGTTTACACACACACACAAACCTGAAGAAAAAGGGGTCCTTTAAATACAATGTCTACATCTGAGATTTTAATATTACACAGAACTTTGAATATAAATTAAAATCCATCAGCCAAAAAGTAGCAATACTAAATGCTTGCATGAACTCTGATTACACTGTTCTACATATAGACATATTAAATGGAAGAGGGACTACCCAGGGCAGCTTAACAAAATTATTTTTGTGTTATGAGGCCATCAACATGAACTATGCTTCTATTTCGGAGGTCTCCTATCATTTCTGTGTCTCTAGGTGAAAGAAAGAGGTGCATGTTAGAAATCCTATGTTGGTCAATTTCATATCACATCATGCCAGCAGAGCCCACCTGCAACAGGAATTATCAGGTGAATATCAGGGACAGTTTAATGGGCTGTGGCAGATTGGTTAAGTCTTACACAGTAGTGTAAAAAAAGAGAAGAGGCTTCTAAAATCTCATGGGGGTAGTGCCCATTTTACAGATTAGGTAGGTTACCTCTGACAGTAGGGCAGGTGAAGTTTATTCCTGGTTCGGAACAATTCGAAGAAAGAATCAAGCACTTGGGCTATGAACCTAAGAGTCTCTCCAAAAGGCTGATGCTACCTGATCTCTCAACTACCTATTATTTTAACTTTTCAGTAAAGACTGTAGAAATTAACATTTTGAAGGGAAGAATGAACCAGAACACTTCCAAGCATTAAGTTTGGGTTTTTTTCAGTGAATTTCAAATGAAAGAGTATTTTTAAACCTCTAGGAATGGTCATAACTACTATGAGGTGTTTGGTGGCCAAATAAAAAATATAACATACAACTTTGTGGAAGTGAAGCTTTAAGCTTACTAAAAGTTAGGAATTTAAAATTACATTTAAGGATGTTCTTAAACACATAACCTAATTCATACTTGTTTTTAAAGAGAGACTCAGCTGAAATCTTTGCAAAGACAATATATATAATTATATATTGTTATATATTATAATGTATTAAGAGGTATTAGTATTATAGTATATGTTAATATTATAATAAAGTATACATTGTTAATATAGCATAGCATATTATATTATATGCTATGCTATAGAATACATATTATTATTACACTAGATACAAATGGTAAATATAAAGTGTTTGTAGTTTGTTGGTCGGGGTTTGGTTGTGGGTTTTTTCAAACCTGTAATACTAACATGATTTTGAGACAACAGAATCAGAACACCAGAGAGAGGTCTTTCAAAACAGCTGGGGATTGAGTTAAGAATCAATCTTAACTCAAGGGGAGGAGAAGGGGAGAGGGAGGTGCTGAGTTCTTCTCCCTGGTACCCAGTGCCAGGACATGTGGGAATGGCTCACAGCTGCGTCCCTCAGGGAAGGTTCAGACTTGACATGAGGAAACATTTCTTTACCAAGAGGGTACCCAAACCCTGGAACAGGGCTCCTAGAGAGGTGGTCGATGCCCCAAGCCTGTCAGTGTTGAAGAGGCATTTGGACAATGTCCTTAATGACATGCTTTAGCTTTTGGTCAGCCCTGAAGTGGTCAGGCAGTGGGACTAGATGGTCGTTGTAAGTCCATTCTAAATGAAATATCCTATTCTATCATTAGGACTGCAGAACCTAGTAGGACCAAAATATTAGGCTTATATATCTGAAAGAATCTGGACTGCAAGCAGCTTCCCTGGAAACATTCTATCTTTCTCATTTTAGCACACGTATCCTGTAAAGAACTCAAAATATAAAGTTGTCCTTTTTACTTTCTACAACTACACTTCCAGTTTTTCCAGTGTTTTGCCAGTTTCTTTTCTATCACTAATAAAGAGGACTACAAACATAAATTGTAGTCCTTTTACATTATAATGTAAACAGCATTCATTAAGTATAGATTACTTAGAATTTCACATATGATGATTTGAAGATGGGATGCAATCCTATAATTACATACATATTAGTTGGTTTAAGATTTCTTTTGTATACCCTAAAATTTAAAAGTCTGATGGATAGATGTAAGAAGGTAAACCAAATAGCTTCTTAATGTTTAATAAAAACATGTTTTTCAAAAAAACCACACAGCTTGCCTCTAAAAAGTATATTCTATTATTAAAGACCATTGTTTCTTCGGTTATGAGATGTGGTATGTAAAATGTATGCATGAATTATAAACAAATTGCTGCAGAGGGCTTTCAAATGAATGCAGTAAATAAGCTTGCTAAGTATATTTTGTAGATCATTAAAACATACTATCTTATACTGACATAAAAACGTGCTGGACATGGCTTTAAAATGCTGGTTTTCAAGTTGACTTTTGAGCATGGCCTCCAAGAAGCATAACCAGGACTGGAAATGGAGCTGTGGAAGCGATATTTTTGAAAGCACTCTCCAAATGATCTATTAAGTTTGAAGAAACAGATGGGAAACCAGGATTCAGATATTTAAAAGCACCTCCAAAATATGAATAATTCATTAGGACTTTTTATATCACTCAGGAACAGGATTCCTATTCTTACTGTCAGCTTTTACATTACAAAAAATTTCCAAAGAAGTGGTAAGTTCTACTAAAACTGATTTCTGTCAGCCAAGACAAGAAACAGCAAAATACATATACAAGTGTAGTAATCAGTAGGTAACACTGGCTTAAATTTCCTCTGATGTGTTTGTAAGTACATACACAAAAATCCCAAGAAAAAGGGAACCTCCAAAGCTAGATTCTAGCCTGTATTTCTATAAAATAAACAAAGAAAATCACAGTACCTTTAGAAACAACCTCTACATTGCAGATTTTAATATCCCTAAGAGCTTGAATGTGAATTAAAACCAAACATATGAAACTTATATGTTTTCATGTCTGTTTGGCCATTCACCCTTCAGCATTGACTGTGGACAGAGCCAGAATGCCCTGGGAAAGTCAGGTAGTCAGTGTGAACTATCCTTCAGAAAAATAATTTCATAAGGACACTTTTAAAAATATGAAGCAAATTAGTAAGTACATGTCTCATTTTAATAAGTACAAGCTCTGCTTCAAAAACAGAGCTTATTTTGGGGAACAGTACAGCCAAACTTAATAACTTGGGTACTTTTTTTTATGAAGACATCAATAATGATATTTGAAGATGCCACCTAAAGACATCATGCCTAAGTGACATTTCTTAGCATGGTCTCAGCAAGCTAAATTCAATTAGATTTTGAAAAGCCATTAAACAACATACTTTAATTAGGCAGAGACTGTATGAAGTTGTTAATTAAAGAATAAATATAAGAAAGAAAAAAAAATATTGAAGAAGTCCAGCCAGAAAAAAATATAATGGGTACAAGAGTCCATAGGGTAGCCCCTTAGGTGTCAAGAGATAGTACTTCTTTATTCTTAAACGAATTCAGCTCTATCTACTAGATAGGAAGAATACTGATTTTCCTTCTGAAGCTTCAGATCAATACAAAACTGGAACTAAATAAACAACACTGATTAGTATGAGTCTTTCTGACTGGACAAGCACTTATTTTTTAATTGACCGCTTCTTATTGAGATACCCATAAATTCAACCAAAAATAATGTCACCTTGAGTACTGTGTGCAGTTTTGGACTCCACAATAAAAGAAGGATATAAAAATATTAGAATGTGTCCAAAGGAGGGCAACAAAGATGGTGAAAGGACTACAGGACATGACTTAGGAGAAACAGCTGAGAATATTAGCTTTGTTCAGCTTGGAGAAGAGAAGGCTAAGGGGCAACCTCATTGCTCTCTCCAGCCTCTTCATGAGGGCAGGTAGAGGGGGAGGTGCTGATCTCTTCTCCCTGGGATGCAGTGATAGGACATGAGGGAATGGCTTAAAGCTGTGTCAAGGGAAATTCAGACTGGGTAGTTATTAGGAAAAAGTTCTTCAGTGAGAGGGTGGTCAAGCATTGGAAAAAGCTTCTCAGGGAAGAGGTCATGGTCCCAAGCCTTTCAGTGTTCAAGAAGTGTTTGGATAATGCTTAGATATCTGGTTTAACTTTTAGGTTGTCCTGTGTGGAGTCAGGAGTTGGACTCAACGACCCTTGTGAGTCCCCTTCAGGGACTATCCTTCAGGATATTGTACGATTATATGTTCTGTTTATATACTGGCTCTCAGTAGAAGACAAAGGTAATTTCATGACAGATGTCTTCAGTTTTAAAGCAATTCAAATAACCTATTCTTTCACCTAAAGACAGTCAACAGTACAGAGTCCATACACAACAATCTGTGTCAGCACTGCATATATCCAGACAAGAAATGGTCCAGTCAGCTGAACACAAAGCACAAGTTATAGGGAAGACACTCCCTGCAGGTCTTACAGTACCTGTATTACACTGTACCACAAAAAAAAACAGGAATGGTACATTATGGAAATCTGAGGCTTTCCCCGTAGCATTGAAAGCTTTAAACCTCTTCCTGACAGAACACTAAGCTTGATCTTTTCTGTCTTCTCTGATCATTTTATATATTCACCTACAGCATCCTATAATTTCAGGAGATGACACAGATTTACAAAAGGTTGCATTTCTTCCTGAACAGGAGTTACACTGTTTCAGGCTTAAAGACTCAAGCAGTGCAACCCATTTTTATGCAAAACAATCTGCCTACCCAAAACTTGTTGTTTATTCCAACTCTAATAGCTCACCTAATAAAAGATATACTCCCTTCCCGCAACTCTTGCCAGAAATTATTAGAGAATGATTAACACGAAAAATCATCACTACCATAGAATCAGAGAATGGCTGAGGTTGGAAGGGACCTCTTGTCCAAATACCCTGCTCAAACAGGGTTAGCTAGAGCAAGTTGCCCATGACTGTGTCCAGCTGGGTTTTTAATATCTCCAGGGATGGAGAGACCACGACCTCTCTGAGCAACCTGTTCCAGTGTGTGACCATCTTTACAGTAAAAAACCTTTTTCTTGTGTTCTGATGGAATTTCATGTGTTTTAATTTGCACCTGTTGCCTCTTGTCTTTTCACTTATTACCACTCAGAAGAATCTGGCTCCATATGCTTTACTCCCTCCCATCAGGTATTTGTACACAGCACTAAGATCACTCCGACACTTATCTTCTCCAACCGAACAGACCCAGCTCTCTCAGCCTCTCCTCACGTGAGGGATGCTCCAATCCCTTAATCATCTTCATGGCCCTTTGCCGGCCTCACTCCAGTATGTTCATGTCTTCCTTGTACAGGGGAGCCCAGAACTGGATACAGCGCTCCAGGGGTGGCTTCACCAGTGCTGGGCAGAGGGGAAGGTGGACCTCCCCAACAAACTGGCAACACTTTTCCTAATGTAGTCTAGGATACTGTTGACCTTCCTCGCAGAGAGGGTGCATTGCTGACTCATGGTCTGCTTATAGTCCACCGAGGACCCCAAGGTCCCTGTCTGCAGAGCTGCTCTCCAGCTATTTAGCTCCCTATGTATACTGGTGCACAGTGCTATGTTTTTGTCTTTTTATGCTACTGTCCAAATTCTGTGCATCCACATTTTGAACAGAACATGAAGTTTTAGCTAGCCCATTTCAAGATGACATAGGAGAAATATAAAAGTAGGGCAATACAACTTTGCCATGAGTAGCTTCATCATCCTAAGAGAACTATCTACTACAGAATGGGATTTTGCATAAGGAGAATAAATGTATTATAAGTTTCCACTTTCCTGTTCACTCTTACAGTGGGCTATTCAATGCTTTATGGCAACTCCCCGATATCTTCAGTTTAATGATGCACTGTACCATATATAATGACGCAGCTGTCATCGTGAAGGCAAAAAAAGCTAAAAATACATTCAACAGCAATTATGGCAACTGATGGGGGGGGGGAAATCCATTAATGGCTATTAAATACAAATACCACCTATCCCTTCTAGGTGCACAGGGCTGGAAACTACGAAGGTATATCAATGTGAATAACCATTCTACAATTGCCTTGTTTCTTATATTCTTCCCCTTTGTCTCTTATACTCTTTCCCTGCATCGTTCACTATAGGCAAAATATCCTGGATGGGCTGCACATCTGCCATGACCCAAAACTGTCATTCTTCGACCTCAAATGCTTTCCCTGATCTACCCTGACAGCAGAAATATTTTTCATATTTAAGCTCTCATAATCATACACTCCCTCTGTCCATGAAGTTGCAGAGCAAAAGCCAGTTCCCATCCTAATATTGCACAAGCACAGTTCGAAAGTTACCGATGAGATCGTTCTTGATAACATAGTATGCACTACCATAACAAGGAATGAACTCCAAAATTGAATGCCATGTGACAATAACTGTGTTAGCTTAAGTATTATAAAGCAAACGTAGAAATGGTGTACGATCCAGACTAATCTACTGCTTTTCAGTAAAGCTATTTTTAGCTCAATATACCTATTTAAGACCCTTTATTCCAATACATATACACTGTACAAAAGGTTTCAGGACCAGCGCTGACTCGCAGCCTGACAGCGTGGAAGATAAACAGGCCAGCAGACATGTGTGTGCACCAGCTTCTCTTTACTGAAACTATCAGTCTCTGCTCTCTGAACCATGACCTAGGCCATTCCACTTCTCACAAGGCAGCTGTGGACCCATTTTGATCCCATCAAAAAATGAACTCAAAAAACTTTTCCATCACGATAGCCAGGCTGCCAAGAACAGAGAATAGACAGGGGATGCTATTTAGGATATAGCCTAATGATAACATTAATCTGAATTAACATCCGCATGCTGCGAAAGCGGAGGTTTGTATTTTCTTCTTCACTCCAGCCACAGAAGCCCATGATTCTTCCTGGCAGAAACCTAACCACAAACAACAAGATGAGTTAGCTCATCAAGTGACCCCAAAGTGACATTGATTACCTGAGAAGTCTACCCAGACTGCAAGAAAATCAAGAGACGTGACGAAAACACTAAATATCATGAATGACTCTGGGCAACAGTGTTATTTCTAGTTACACGCTCAAGACACAATTACGTAAGGGTTCTTCCATCGTTAAGTGTCCGTAATACACGATAAATCATTAAACGTGAGGCTGGGATGTGGATCTTGAAAGGCTATTCCCCCTCCTCCTCGGCAGCCACACCCAGTAAAACCAAAGTTAAGCTGCACCTCCACCATGAAAGCCAGCAGGGAAAAACAAACAAGGGAAAAGAATCTTTTCCTGCACTTGCGGCGTTCAACCCCACCGCAGGCCGGGTCCCCAGGCCGCCCTCCACCCGTCGGCCCTCGCCCAGGCCACCCCACTCGAGGCAGCCCCAGGCCTCTGCTCCCAGACCCCCGCTCCCCAGCGGCCGGGGGTGGGCTGGGAGAGGTCAGGCTGCCCTGCGCAAGCAGCACGCCCGCCTCCGCGGGTTTTCACGGCACGGGCGGGCAGAGCGCGGCAACTTTTCCACAAAACCCACCGGCTCTTCGCATTTTCTCTGCCGTTCCCCTCCGTTTGTCACACACGAGGAGCTCGCGCCTTCCTCCTCCACCTCAGGCAAAGTGTCCCGAGCGCGCCCTGCGGCACAGGCCCGCCCGGCCATTTTGAGCCCCACAGGCGCCGCGAAGTTGCGGCGGGGCGGGACGGGACGGCAGCAACAGGTGGTGCCGCAGCC